AAGGGCTTGATTTAAGAATAGGGCTTCAGTTGAGACGAATTTCTAATCAAGACATTTGGAGTTGTAGTGGGAATCAAATTTGAATTTAAATATATTTTGTTTAACTACTCGGTTTACAAAAACATGGGCGTGATTTTACAGAAATCTAGGTAGCTAAAATCCCTATCCCTAGAATGATCTGAAGGATTCAAATTTGGGTTTACAAATTTTGCTACTCACAATTCGGTCTGTTAGTTATAAATTATTCGATGTATTTGTAGATCCCTGGGTAAATCCGTAATTTCCTCACCAGCAATTAGTCGCGCTAAAGGCTATTATGGATACTTTCACGGAAACACTTTCTTCTACTAGTTGATATTTTAATGAATTTTTGGCAGTTGAGTTTGAAGATTTTAAGAGTTTGGTTGAGACTGTCCACAACGCGTTACAATAAACGAATTCCTTATTTGCAAGAAAAGTCACCACTCCCGGTTAAAGAAATTTTATTCCCGGATAATTTCAATTGTTCGTAACTTACTATTAATTCAGTACTATCCCGTGTAGTTATGGAAGGATTGAAAAACCGGACCGATTAAATGAACTATTTCCACCAGAATTGTTATTGCTCCGTCGCTGCTTCAAGACTGTTTAATTTAGATTTTTCTGACATTTTTATATGAATTTTAGGGTCACTTGTCACATGGGCTCCAACGAGTCCATTTTTAATTGGTGGAAAATGTCGTATGACTTTTCCCACTCTTTTGATTTTCATGGGGAAGTAGTTCATTCAGTTTTTGGGGTCTTAATTAATCGGTTTGCAATCGTTCCTTCGCGTACGAATCTTAGTATTGGGTAATTGGGGCATGCTGAGTGTGTCATTTCATCACTTTTGAACTCGTTTCCAGTGCCTTTGGAATTTTTAATTGAGTTCAAGTGATGAAATGTACTCAATTTAGCTTACAATTGTGGGTTTGATTCTCAATTACATGGGATTATAATGTAACTTATAGTTATGATCTTATATAAAATTTATTCTAGTCTTAAATTTCTAGTATAAAATTTTTGGACATTACAGCCCCCCCTCATAATTGTTTCTGGTTGCATTTTGGAAGCAATTTTGAGGAGTTGGATTTTTAAATTTTATGTGTAGTATGGGTAGAGTTATTTTGTTTTTGTAATCTTGCACCGAGCGGTGGCCGTGAGCGGCTGGGTGCTGACGATAACATTCTTGGGAGTTCGGATTACATTGTATTTCCGATTCACCTGTCAGTTTTCTTCGCTCACTCGGTGACTTGGGAAGTGTTTCAGCTTAATTTTGTTTGTGTGCCAGGGATTTTGTTCGTTACGGTACTTTGGGATATTTTCCTGTCTATTTTCTATGTTATTTTTGACGCGTGTGCAGTGGTTGATTTTCTTGTTTCGCTGCTTTTGTATGCAAACATTTGGGGTTTTTTTTGTTTTTTTTTGTTTTGCTATTTTAATTTTATTATATTTTACTATACTTATTTTATTTATTTATGTTGTTTCGTAGTTTCTGGTGAATTTTGAATTTTAAAGTTCTTGTGGTGGGTTGTGAGGGGGGTATGATGAGAGGCTTGTGCCTGTGCGAATGTCGCACAAAGAGGAACGGCCGATTGAAACCCTCCACGCTCTTATGCATAGGTGTATTCTTATCCATTCCTCTTTGTGCGACATTCGCACCAGGAGGAATGGAGGATAAGTTCGGCATGTTCTTCACGGTTACGCGGCGGGGGGGGGGTAGCTATATTTCTTGTTTATTCATGTCTATGGATTATTTTTGTTATTGTTTATTTGCTCATTTATATAGATGTATATAAATAAATATTATCATATGTATATATATGTATATAGATATATTTCCATTTATATACATATATATAATTTTTTTTTTTTTTTGGACGGTGTGCGCATATGCATTTCTCTATGTGCTTTATTAGCCGTGGTAATTTTAATGTATTTTTATTTTATTCATGTTGTTTTGTATTTTTATTATTATTATTATTATTATTATCATTATTTTTTTTTTTTGTAGATGGCTCCAGGTATTGTTCGGGAAGTTTTGGAGATTGATGGTGAGAGGGAGGTGGAGGAGGTCCCCGACCTTCCTGGGGGTGCAGGGATTCGTCCCTTCGCTGTTGTTTTTGGGGAGGTCGAGCTGGAGGGGAATCTCCTCCAGAGCTTTTTGTGGTGGGAGGAAAGGAGGGTAGAGGTGAGGGAGGTGTTAGGAGGGGATCGGTTGGAGACGCTGCTGGCAGTGGCGTCGGAGGTTTGTGGGGAAGAGATCCCAGTGGATAGGTTCGTGGAGGTTCTTTTGAACTTTCTCGCTTTTCTGGGGCCTTCTTATCAACTGACCACGGTAAGTGGTATGTATATACATATATATATATTTTTTTTTTCTTTTTAGGCACGGAGGCTATGGAGACAGCTCCTTATTTTCAAGGGCTTCTTGGCGACGGTGGGGAGGAGGGAGCCCTTAGGGTTGCTGAAAGAATTTGCCTCGCGGATTTTAGGGGTTGCTCTGGCAGTTGGCCTGGATATTTTGGTTGGCTGATGTTGTTTGTACTCATGCAATAAAGTTTGTTTATTGACACGTGTCTGACCTTTTTATTTTTAGATGTAGTTGATAACCACGGCGGATGGAGTATCCTGTTTGGGGATTGTGATGGCGTGTTTTGGTTTGGTGATCCCTTCCTTTTTCGGCGCTCGAGTTGGTGCTGGGTAGCTGGGCATTCCGACCGTAGCAATTGTTGTTGAGGTTTCTTCTATCCTTTGGATTTCTGGGGTTCCAATTTCGACTCTTCGTTGGAATTTTCTTTGTTTCTGCTTGGACTTCTGGCAGAGGGAGAAGCATGACAGAATGCTCATGATAGACAGCCCTTGCCTGTATGCGCAGATGCAACCATGGATAGGAAGATAATGGTGGTGATGATGCCATTTGTTGCGGTGAGGATTCTATGGTGGTATTCCTCTTGATGGTGGAGTCCGATTTCTTCCGCCTCGTTTAAGGTGTGTTGGAGTGATTCGTCGAATTCCCTGTTTTCATCTGATGTGGGTAAGATATGTTGTTTTATTTGGCTCAATGGGTGTATTGGTTTTGGTTTTTCGTTTAGTATTGGTGCCATTGCTGAAATGTTTATTGTTTTAGGTAACCCCAGTATCATGGGGAGTTGAGTCTGGATTAATCCTGCACCCTCGATGACGGCTGTGGCGGTTTCTGCCTTGCAGTTGGGATTTAGGTGGATTATTCCTGTGCCATTTATTGTTAGGCTGGTGGCTTGTTGGTTGGTGCAGGTTATTTCTAGTGTCTCTAGTTGTATGGTGGCATAGAGCCAACCATTGGTGCTGGTTAATTTGGTCCATNTATGTTTATTGTTTTACGTAACCCCAGTATCATGGGGAGTTGAGTCTGGATTAATCCTGCACCCTCGATGACGGCTGTGGCGGTTTCTGCCTTGCAGTTGGGATTTAGGTGGATTATTCCTGTGCCATTTATTGTTAGGCTGGTGGCTTGTTGGTTGGTGCAGGTTATTTCTAGTGTCTCTGGTTGTATGGTGGCATAGAGCCAACCATTGGTGCTGGTTAATTTAGTCCATTGTGTGTCTTGATTGTTGGTGACTCTGATGTTGCAGTTCTGATAGATGGTGGAGTCGACTTGGGCGTTGGTGTTTGTAAGTAGGCGGTATTCGCAGCTCTGTTTTCCATTGGGTTTCTTCAGGGGGAGGTTTCTGGGGCAAGCTAGGCAGTTTTCCAGTGGAATGCAGGTTTGCAGGTGTTCCCGGTTCATTTGGCTATATCTGCTGGTGTATTTTGAGGTTGTGATGTATTCATTTTGTGGCTCTACGTATGCTGCAAGTGTTTGATTCCCGTGGATTCTCTGGGGAACTTTGCAGGGGATTATTTTGTAGAGTTCCATTAGGTCTCTGCTTAGTAGTGGAATGTCGAGGATTATGAGGAAGGAGCCATTGTTGAAGCCGGTGTGCATGTCACTGATTTGGCTTAGGATGGTCAAATCTGTCTTTTCCGGAGATGTGGGAAAGATGCTGTCGGTGATGTTTTTTCCAATTTCCTCTATGGCTTTGTCCAATTTCTGGTTATTTATTAAGATGGGGTTTAGTTTCCCGTGTTTCGCGTCTTCTATGGCATGGAGGATGTTGTGCGTCGTTTCTAGATACTTTCTGGCGGCATGTTGTATTTCTCTAGCTGTTTCGTCGAGGCTTGCGAGATATTCCACTTGAGTCAACTTGTCGGACAGTAGGTTGGTGTTGGAGGCTATGACGTTTATTCGATCTGTGGCCTTTCTAATTTTCTCATAGTTCAGTTCGTGTTCTTTTTTTATGGCATTTATTTCAGCTTGGATGATGTGAGTTGAATTTCCGATTAGGTGGGTGATTTGTTGTTGGTCTTGATAGAGTCGATCAATTTCTTTGGTGATGTGTTCTTGGTCATTGTAGTCCATGGTGCCGAAGAGGGATCTCGATATGGTGCCCACGAATCCTAGTAAAGGGGATCTGCTATAACGTCTTTTGGGGTTCTGTTTTGGACTTTTCCAGATTCTTTCCAGATGTTTCTGTATTGTTTGGAGTGTTGTCTTGTACTCGTCCATCATGGGTATGCCTAGTACTCTATCGCAGGTTTGCTTTCCTTGGTGTTTATAGCATTCAGTTTGATGTTTTTCTATGGTTTGTATCCCGGGTAGTGGTTGTCCTAGGAGGTTGTGCATGTCCACTGTGAGCATCAGTCGCCATTTTCTGTTGATTGTTCTTATTTGGTCGATTTTCTCATAGTAGAGTCCGGGGTTGTGGTCTATAGATTCGTGTTGATAGATTTGATCGAGTGTTAAATCTGTTTCGGCCTGAATTACCCAAACGGTGGTCCATATGATGAGGATAGCTCTCATGGTATTGTGTTCTGTAAGTTGGAGAATTTTTGCTTGGGTTTGTTGTGCTTAATTTGGGTTTTTTTTTTTTGTAATGAGACGTTTCGGCTTAGATCTAGTTAGGTTAGGTGGGTATTATTTCTGATCCTATTTTTGCTAGTTCATCCGCTTTTTCGTTCTCGTATATTCCCTGGTGTCCTGGGGTATATTTGAATTGGACGTCGATTTTCTGGGTGAGTTCGGCGAGCTGTTTCAGGAGTGTTTGATTGACAATGGGCTTGGACTTAGCATTTAGCCAGCCATTTGTTTTCCATTTCTTTATGTGCTCAGTCATGCAGCTGATGAGGTATTTGGAATCGGTGATTATTCGTATTCTCGAAATGTCATGGCGAATACATATTTGGCATGCTTCGATGGCGGCCGCTGTTTCGGCGGTGATGTTGGTGGCCCGTGTACCTTGAAGAGTTNCTTGGGTTTGTTGTGCTTAATTTGGGTTTTTTTTTTTTGTAATGAGACGTTTCGGCTTAGATCTAGTTAGGTTAGGTGGGTATTATTTCTGATCCTATTTTTGCTAGTTCATCCGCTTTTTCGTTCCCGTATATTCCCTGGTGTCCTGGGGTATATTCGAATTGGACGTCGATTTTCTGGGTGAGTTCGGCGAGCTGTTTCAGGAGTGTTTGATTGACAATGGGCTTGGACTTAGCATTTAGCCAGCCATTTTTTTTCCATTTCTTTATGTGCTCAGTCATGCAGCTGATGAGGTATTTGGAATCGGTGATTATTCGTATTCTCGAAATGTCATGGCGAATACATATTTGGCATGCTTCGATGGCGGCCGCTGTTTCGGCGGTGATGTTGGTGGCCCGTGTACCTTGAAGAGTTTTGTGGGTGTTGAGGGGGTGGTTGTCCGCGAACCACACTCCGATTCCTGCTTTGGCATCGGTTGAGCCGTTAAAGGAGCAGGAGCCATCGACGTAAACTAGTGTGCGTCCTGACCCGTCTGTACTCATGTCCCTGGAATGGTTTCATTTTCAATCGTATACACTCAGATACGGGCAAGGGTCCCAAAACATAAAAGTGCTCATAACTCGCGAAATATTGACTTTATCGCAAAATAAAGTCTAGGATTTTTGATGTTTGTAATTGAACGGGCCATCGATTCCCGAGGTCGAATTTCCAAAATTTCAATTAGAGTGGTCTGTGCCGTGAAGGGTGGATCACTAAATTTATTGATATTGACTCATTCTGCGCAGGGTTTCAGTTTGTTTGGGTGCTTCATGAAGTGGTGTCCGTCTTCGCTTTCTAGGTACACGTTTCCTTTTTCAGTTATGTCGACAATATCGTAGGGCCCGGTGTAGGCCTGATACAATTTTCTTGGGCTCCTTCTCGACGTAGACGAATTATCCTATTTTGAGGTCTATTGGTCTAGCGTTTCGGTCGTAAAGGCCCTTGGAATGTAGTTTGGCCTTTTCTAGGTGGTCGAAGGCGAGTTGGTGAATTTTCTGCAATTTGTTAATTAGGTCTACCATGTAATCGTTGTAGGTATGTATTGGCTCATCTTCGTCG